TCCCCCCACACCCACACACAGTACCGACTCGGTCGTAAGATCGGAGCCGGCTCGTTCGGGGACATCTACTCGGGCGTGGACTCGACGAATGGAGAGGAGATTGCCATCAAGCTCGAATCGACAAAGTCGCGCCATGCACAGCTGCTGTACGAGTCCAAGTTGTATCGCATCTTGGCAGGAGGGACGGGCATTCCGTTTGTGAGGTGGTTCGGTGTCGAGGGGGACTACAACGTGATGGTCATGGACTTGTTGGGCCCGTCTCTGGAGGACGTGTTCACCTTTTGCAAGCGAAGCTTCTCCCTCAAGACCATCCTCATGATCGCGGATCAGATGCTCCTCCGTGTCGAGTACCTCCATTGCAAGAACTTTATTCACCGCGACCTCAAGCCCGACAACTTTCTCCTCGGCCTCGGCAAGAAGGGCAACCAGGTGTTCCTCATCGACTTTGGCCTCGCCAAAAAGTACCGCGATCCACGGACACACTTTCACATTCCCTACCGCGAGAACAAGACTCTGACCGGCACCGCCCGCTACGCCTCGATCAACACTCACCTCGGCATCGAGCAGTCGCGCCGCGATGATCTGGAGGCCATCGGCTACATTCTCATGTATTTTAACCGCGGCGCCCTGCCCTGGCAGGGCCTCCGCGCAGACACCAAGAAGCACAAGTATGAGCGCATTTCCGAGAAGAAGATGACTACTCCCGTCGAGCTCCTCTGCAAGGGCCACCCACCGGAGTTTGCCATTTTCCTCAACTACACCCGCTCGCTCCGCTTTGACGACCGCCCCGACTACGGCTACCTGCGCAAGCTCTTCCGCGACCTGTTTCTCGCCCAGGGCTACCGCTACGACTACGTCTACGACTGGACAACACAGCGCAAGGCTACCTCGCCATCGGGCGCTTCGTCCTCGACCGCCTCGCCCGCCGCTGCCTCGCCAGGCAAGTCGGCAAAGGCTGGCAAGTCCAAGCCCGACGCGCCCGACGCCGCCTCTGCCTCACCCGCCCCGCCGCCCTCCTCCGCCCTCAAGTCACCACCCTCAAAGTCCGCCGCCACACGCCTCCGCACCGGCTCGCCCGCCGCCGTCTCCTCCACCAACGCCATTGCCTCGTCCTCTTTTGCCAGCGGCACCAAACAGTAGCTGCTGCCATCCCCCCCACCACCCCCCACCACCCTCGATCAAACCATCCCCTCCCGCCCTGCCCTGCCTCTCATCACCGAACTCGTCCCAACAACTTTGATTTTTGGCCCCCTCCTCCTGCCACCCCCACCCCACCACCCACCCCACCTGTCACCCCCCCCACCCCCCTCGCCCATGACCACCCCTGCTGACATTGCACGCGAGCTGAGTCACCTCCGAGAGATGATGGCTACAGGCCTAGCTGAGCTCCGTTCTGAACTCGCTGCTCTCCGCTCGGCTGACGCCTCGGTCATGTCCCGTCTCGACGCCCTGGAACGTGTCGTCGCTGCACCCCCGTCAGACACGCCGGCTCCGCCATCGACTGCACCCGCTTCAACCCCTGCGCCCGCTCCAACTCCTGCGCATGCCTCACTCCCTCCGGCCGCCGCCGCCGATGACGCCATCCGCCACGCTGCAGAGATCCAGGCCAAGGCGCTGTACGATGAAGCTGATGCCCGTGCTCGCGCACGCAACGCCGAGAGGCACGTCGAGTGTGTCCAGTGCGGCATCGAGTTCTTCCCGGCCTTTGCCACCCCAACGACTGCAAGCACCACGCTCTTCCCTTTACCTCGGTCGGTACACGCTACGTCTACCCGTGCTGCGGCGCCGAGTTCCGCCATGCCCGCGAGGCCGAGTTTTCTCCGGGCTGTGTCCGCAGTGAGCACGCCGAGTTCCACCACAATCGCATCTCCTACCACACGCACACCTCGTGGCTCAGCTCCGTCCGCAAATCTCCGCTCTCTCACGAGTGGTTCCACTTTGCCGTCCCCGATATCGCCTCCGGCTCGCCCAAGTTTGTCGTCGTCGGCACCTCGCGCGCCGGGCGCTCCGCCTCGGACACCACTCCGTCCATCTTTATCGCTGCTGGCCGCGGCCTCGCCTCTTGGGGCTCGCGCATGGCTATGTTCTCTGCCTCGGATCTCGATGCCCTTGTATCTGCCGCTGCTGCGGCAGACACCGAACGAGCCATTGCTCTTACCCTTGCCTCAGAGTCCGGCTCTGACTCTCAGCCGTGGTCCATTTCGGTCAGCATCTCCCGCGCCGCCGGCCCAGCCGCTGGCATTGCCACCTACGTCGTCACTGCTGCTGTCGCCCTGGCCACCCTCACCGAGCCCACCCTCATCACCTTTCCGTTCCAGGTTACCACCGACTCGCCTGCCGACGCCGACGCCGACGCCGACGCCGAAGCCGAAGCCGACACTGGTGATGACGACACCAGCGCCACCATCAACGCTTCCGCATCGTTCATCCCGCTCGCCGATGCACCCTCAGTCTCCAACGCGCCACTTCTGCCGTCTGACAAGCTCGCCAAGCTCGACCACGACGCCCTCGCCGCCTCGATCCCGCCGCCGCTCGTCGATGGCACCCCGATTGCAGACGACCCACCGCCACCGCTCACCATCCACAAGTCTTCCGGCTCGTCCGAGCTCCGCATCAAGGCTGCCGAGGTGAGCGAGGTCAGCCAGAGCCTCGGCTCCGACTCGTTTGTCAACTTTTTCACCATCCCGCTCAAGATTATGAACCCGAGCTCGTCCAAGCTCGCTGTCGTCGATGCCTCCGCCTTTTACCTTGATGCTTCCGGCGCCGCCGTCCCGGTCGAGAGCCTCCAATTTGCCGCCTCGGACGCCGCCACCTGGGAAGACTCGCTCGGCCTCACCCTCGACACTATGGGCGTCGCCCAGATCAAGGCGCGCCTCGGCATCCGAGTTGCCGGCGCCTGCGGGTCAACCTATGCGCTGCGCGCCCGCGCCGCGCCCTCGCTCCCGCAGCCACTTACCCTGCGCCTCCTCGTCGAGGACATCATGGGCGAGGATGTGGCCATCGACGTCGAGTACGCCAACTCGCAACTCGGGCTCATCACCAAGGAGTCGTGGGAAAAGTCCAACTCGCTCGCCGCCCTCGCCTTTGTCTACGCAGACGCCTGCGCTGCCATGACCCGCCACTACGTCGCCATCGCTCGCGCCAACCGTGCCTACGTGCTCGCTACCTCACACAGCACTCGGTTTACCCTCGACGACGCCAAACTCAATGTCATGGCCTTCAACGCCCATTGCACCAACTCCGAGGTCCTCGACTTGCCCAACATGTCGCTCACCTCGGATGAAGCCACCACCGAGTTTGCCGCCCTCGTTCATGACCCGGCTCACCTTGGTCCGGTCTACGGCTTCCGAGTCACGATCACTACCCCCGACATGCGTCGGGTCGAGCACATCGCACTCCCGCCCATCCCGAGCAAGCCCGAGCTGCTCCGCCTCGACTCGTCCTCCATCCAGCGCGGCCAGTACGCCACTTGCGCCTACCACATCAACGAGCTGCACACCGGTGACTGGTTCGCCGTCGTCGTCGCCGGAACCTTGTCCAACAACTCGGCAGGCAGCTTTTGGTACGAGCATCCTGACCCATCCGCTGCGGACAGCGGCACCATCGACTTTGTCGCACCAGACAAGCCCGGCGAGTACCGCCTCCGCTTCTTCCCCAACTCACAGCTCACGACCCACACCGTCGAGTCGGACATCTTTGCTGTCCTGTAACTACTCACTCGTTCAACCCCTCGTTCGCCGGGACGATCCGGCTCGACTGCGCCCGCGAAAGATTGCGCGGCGACGACCGCGAGTCTGTTGTCGGGTTGGCTCGCCGAGCTACCTGACACGACGGGCTAGTTTTGTGGGGTATCGCCACCGCGCTCTCGTCATCAAGGCTGCTGGCACTTGCCTCTGCCTTGTTGACATCGGTGTCGACATCGAGGAGGTCACCACCTCGTCCGAGGTCGAGATCAACGGCGAGGTGCAGTCGGTCAACAACCTGGTTGGCCACTCGATCGAGCCGTACACCGTCCACGAGGAAAACAAATTGTCATGGCGCTCGCCACCAGGGCGAGTACAAGGAGAAAGAGAGGGATAGGGATCATGTGGAGAGTGTAGCAATGGAATGGTGGCAGAGATTGCGTGTAGGCTGGCTTTGGGTGATGTGTGTGGGGAAAGAGATGAGTGGTAGATCGGACAGGTGGTGGCGGATTACAGCCCGACGACCGAAGACGATCCGGGGATGTGGCCCGAGTAGGTGGCCGAGTAGTGGGTGCGGAGGTAGCGCAGGGTGTCAGAGACATGAGCTTGTTGATCGGCACCGAGAAGGTCGGCCACCGGTGGGGCGGAGGCGATGTCCTGAGAGGTACGCTCGACATGAACGTCGACCTCATGCGGGAGCGCGGCGGCAACTGCGGTTGGCTTGCCCATCTTCTCGGAGACTTCGAGCTCAAGGGCGGTGAGGTGCTGGTCTGTGGCAGTGGCGTGACCCTGGCCATCAAACTGGGTAGCGAAGCGATGATCAGCGTACTCACCAGACTGGACAGAGCGGACGTGCTTGGCGCCGGGGACGTGGCCGGCGTAGCCCGCGATGCGGCCCTTGGTGCCGGTGGAAAGTAGCGCACATCGCGATGGCGGAACCGAGACCGGCGCTGGCGGCGCTGATACTCGACATCACCCTTCTCGTACTCGGCACGGAGCTTGGTTCTGGCCAGCTCGGCCTCCTTCTCGTTGGCCACATGTGCTTCGTAGTTGCGAATCCAAGCGCGGGCGATCCGCTCCTCGCGAACAATCGAGTCGCTGAGGATCTGGTCCTCAGCCCATGTCGCCGGAAGATGCCGTCCGCTCATGTTGCTGCAAGTTCAAGCCTTGGATCTCCGCGCACGAAGAGTCTGCAGATCACGAGCTAGTGCGAGTGTGGGCAGTGTGTGCCAGCCGTGCCGAGCCGAGTCAAGCCTTTGTCTGACAGGGACCGTCGGCTTGGTACAGGCAAAGCGTCCAAGTGAGAGCAAGAGGTACCAAGCAAGGCAACAACCAAAGCTCGAGTGCTATACCAGCCGTACGTAGCAGCGCGAGTGTGTAGTCGCTGTCGACTCTGAAGCGATCTCTATGTTCCCGGTCGAGTGCGGTAGTCGGTTGAGTCGAGTGCGAGTACCAACGGTCAAACGGCCACGATGGAAACAATTGGTGGCGAAGCGGACGAGCAGGTCAAAGTGGACGAACGAGGCGAACGGGAAGAACGGGCGAATGGGGCGAATGGGGCGAATGGGGCGAATGGGGGCGAATGGGGGCGAATGGGGCGAACGGGTGATGTAGAAGTGTGCTGGTTGGCATGTCGGTTGCGTGGCGGATACTGGGTAGGGACGGAGAGGGCACCACTCGAGTCTGGGCCTGGTAGTCAGTATGGACGAGGCTCTGGCGGCAGAGGCCGTGAGAAAGACCAACAAGGCGGCGGCGGGAAAGGTTGCTGCTGCGGTCCGCGTTCTGGACTTGTCCATGATGGGCATTGACATCCTGCCTGTTCTGGTTCCACGTCGCGGCGAGAGTGATGACGGTGGTGATGGTGGCGATGGCGATGGTGATAACGATGGCAGTGGCGGTGGGGATAGTCAGCAGGGATCAGTACCTGGCACTCCGCGGAGTGGGCTGGTGGGAGAGGACGGCGAGGGTGAGCAGGGCAAGGAGGTCGACGACGATGACAGCCAGCTGGCGGCGTCAGTCGAGGTCATCAATCTCCATGGAAATGCTCTGACCGCGAGCATGATCGATGCCGGTATCGGCGGCTGGCTGGAGTGGTGCGGTGGGGTGGCGGTTCTTGTTGAGCTCTTTCTCTCGGCCAACTTGCTCGAGAGCGTCCCGGACGTGGTGTGCTCCATCGAGACGCTCGAGACGCTCTCGCTCGCCCACAACGCCATCGCCGAGCTGCCAGACCGCTTGGCTCGATTGGCTAGGTTGCGCAGCTTGGACGTGAGTCACAACAAGCTGGATGCGGTGCCGGCGCGGATCGCGGCGCTGCCTGTACTCAACGAGCTCCGGTGCGATGGCAACACCGGACTCGCCGCCGCGTTGCCGCCTGGCCTGGTCGACGACACCTCAACTGAGGGGCAGACGGCCCTCATTGCATACCTCCGTGGCGACCACGAGCCTGCTGCCACAGTGACTGTCGTCGTGGCGACCGAGAACAACTCGCCTGCTCAACATCGATGCTGGGCGTATGCGCGGTGCTCGTGCAAAGTTGCTGCAGCGTGGAAGTGACCGCTGTCAGAGTCGCTGGCTGGCCAGCGAGCCGAAATGAAAGTTCCTTTTGCCAACGTGGCCTCCTACGGCAAGTTTAACGCACTCATACACTGGACTTAGAGCCGTCTAATCGTCGCTGACCCGTTCGAACTACTCGATCCGACGAGTGTGACGTCGCAAGTCATTGCGACTCGCCAAGCCGCACGAAGATTTCGAGCCAGAAACGCTGTGGCGAAAGGCATCATCTCTCTCTGACCTCACGCGTCGACTAACGCTGCGACCAGCGACAGATTCACACATTGTACGTACTCATAACTCCACCGTTACTCTGCGCATGCCATGAGGAATGAGATGCCTGCAGTTGGCCAGCGTGCTGCTTCCTGCGACAATTGCAAAAACGCAAAACGCGCATGTTCCATTGCAGTTTTTCCCCAAAAAGTGCACACTGAATGAGAGGGCAAAAGCGAGCAACGCAATCATCTTTATTCTGTCGCATCCAACTCACCACAGCTCTCTCTTCAAACACACCCACGCACAATCGCAGACACAGCCACAGCCACAGACACAGGTGCCATGCCATCAAACACTCAGATCAATGCCCAGACCGAGGCCCATCGCATGGGCGAGATGTTCCCGCGCGTCACAAGCTCCCGCATCCGCCACACACCCGACTTTCGCCTGCGGAACGTTATCAATGCCACGCACGACAAGATGCAGAACAACATCCGTCAGATTGCCTCTGCGGACGAGGCTGCGGAGCAGAACGAGGCTGTTGACGCGAAGGCGAAATACTCCGGCCGGACCAAGTTTCTGCACTTCTTGACTGGTCACACAAGCATCGTCATCAACACCGACAGCGACAGCGACAGCGACAGCGACAGCAACAGCGACAACAACAACGACAGCGAGTCGACCTTTGCCTGCTACTCGGACTCGGGTTTGGATTCAAACTGCGTGACACCGGCCATGATGGCGATGTCGGCGGCTTCAAGCAGCGGATCGGACCATGCTCCCGAGGGAGAGCCGGCCATGGGCCTCGAGACTCCCACTGTCCCTGATGGCGGACTTTCGAGCTCAGAGTCGATCTGCAATGCACATGGCGCCCAGGACTCGACCATGTCCACCACCTCTTTCTACTCTGCCTCTTACTCGTCAGCTTTCACGATGAGCGCATACTCTGTGTCATCCTACTCGGCATCGTCCGACTCGTCGTCGTCCGGTGCTGACGACTCGGATCAGGCGCCGCAGTTGCTCTCGATCCCTACAGCGGGCGGGATGCGGGCAAGCAGCAGCTCATCATCCGACGACGCGTGCTCGTCTGGCACCCCACCAGCTCCCTCGCCTTCCGCAGTCAACCCTTCATCGCCATGCCCCGTTCGGGCTGATGGCGGTGAGGCAATGCCAGCGCCATGTGTTGCAGCGGCGTCACCACCGCCACACCGGCACGGAGCGCGCGCCGCTTCGGTGGTTGAGGTGACGGAGACTGCCGAGGTGAACGTCGTGGAGATCAAGCCGCTCGCGACGCGCAAGCGCAAGCGCGTCGCGGATCCTTTCGACCAGTCTGTTGTGGTTAAGAAGCGCCTATCGCTGTATCACTCCTTCTCCTGTAACTCTGCAACTTCCGCTGGCTGGATCTGCGTCCCGGCCTCTGCCCGTGCCGCCGATCTGGAGCAAGTCATCGCCAGCCTTCACAGCCTCCTGGCAAGCAAGCGTGCTGACGAGTCGGCTGCTAGCTGCCTCCTCAGCTTGCGCACTGAGGCCAAGCGCTAAGCGCAAACGTAAACTGCTCAATCCCACTTTATGATTCGGCCGCCATAAGCTTAAACCAGGCGTAAACCGATTGATGCAAGCACACAAACATGCGGCGCGTCTCGCCGGCAACATTCTGTTTAGCCAGAGCTGCCAAGACTTGCGAATTCTCACCCAATCTGCTGCAAGAGGTACGTGTGCAAAAGGTGCGAAAGGCCCGCACCGTGACACGAAATTGATGCCATCTTGAGAATAGTGGCGAGCGACGCGACACCAATACCACCACCACCTTACCGCCAGGACGGGAGGACGCCCCACGCTGTCATGGAGGTATGTCGTGTCGTTCCATGTGTGGCCATGTGTGTGTATGCGTGCGTGTGTGGAGGGGCTGAGTGGCGGGGCGGGAGTTGTTGCGGGGCCGGTGGCCGTGGTGCTGGCGTCCGCAAGGACGGCGTGCCGCCCACGTGGTAGACAGACGGCTCGCACCACCAGGCGATGTGCGACTGACAGCGTTGGGTGGATATGGATGCAGGTCGTGTGGAGAGGAAGGAAGGCGTTCGCCGACAAGGTGGCTTCGGTTGGCGGAGAGCGTGTGCGCAAGATCACCATTGGACTCGGCTCGCCGCCGATGAGTGCTCGGGTGCATATGGAGGCTGTTGACGACAACGCTGTGCGAGTGATGGCAAGCCTCTGTCCGTACCTGACTGCTATCGAGCTGCATGGATGCGACGGCGTGACGAATGCGGGACTCTTGGCGCTGGCTCACGGTGCTGAAATGCTCGAGCGTGTGTCCCTCCCGAGCGGCCGCAACATCACCGCGAAAGGGCTGGCGGCACTCGCGGCCTGCCGCTCGCTGAAGGAGGTCCGGATCTCATGGGCGGAGCACCTTGGTGACGACGCGCTGGAAGCATTGGCAGAGTGCACAAGCTTGACTACTATCTCGCTCGACGCGTGCACAGGGGTGGGCGATGCCGGCGTAGCAGCGTTGGCGAGCGGCTGCGGCTCGGCGCTAACCTCGATTACGCTCTCCGGGTGCGATCAGGTGGCCGACGGAGGCCTGCAGGCGCTTGCAGACGGATGCCCCCGGTTGACAAGCATTGTGGCGTCATCGTGTCCCAGTGTGACTAGCGCGGGCATCATCGCGCTTGCGGACAGCTGTCCTCAGCTCACAGCAGTCGACGTCTCCGACTGCGAGCGTGTCGGGGACGAGGCGCTGGCGGCACTGGCGATCGGGTGTCCCCGCCTCGAGACGCTGCGAGTGGCGATGTGCCCAAGCGTGAGCGCGGCCGGCCTTCGTAAGGTTGTGGATGGGTGCAGCGCACTGCGAGTGCTGGATGTGACCGACTGCGCGCGGATTGACGACGAGGCGCTGGCGGTTCTGGGTGGGTGCCGCGCGCTCGCGCATCTTGACCTTTCCCGCTGCACACAGATCACCGGGTCGGGTCTAGCGGCGCTAGCGCACGGCAGCGCTGCGCTCGCCAAGATCAGCCTGGAAGGATGCACCCAGGTGTGCGACGCAGTGCTTGATGTTGTCGCGCGCTCGCTGCCGTCTGTAACCGCGCTCGATCTGACCGACTGCCACCAAGTGACCGACAACGGCGTCGAGGCGCTCGCCAGTGGGTGTCCGGGCCTGGTGGATGTGAATCTGACGGCGTGCGCCAAGGTGACGGATCAGGGCATCATCTCGGTCGCGGACGGATGCAGCGGGTTGGAGCGGATCTCGTTCCTCCAGTGTCCGCTCGTGACGGACGCCAGCGTTCGCGCGCTACTGGTTCTGAAGCGGATAACCGTCATTGACGCTCGAGACTCGGGTGTGACGCCCACGATGGAGCTGCGACTCGAAAACGATGGTCTATGTGCATTGTAGCGTAGTTAGCGTTGAAAGACTGCCGATCGGCACACTTGTCTTTGAGCCCATTGCTGTCTTTGATGGATGCGAGCACGATGACCGACGCTGATGAGCCGCGGCTTGTCTACACTTTGCCCGTGGTCATTGTGGGCGCGGGCGAGCTCAATTTGGAGACGCTGGACCAGTTCCTGGCAGCGGCCGGAGACGAGCGATGCGGCGCAGTGGACGAGGCGAGCTCGACTCGGCACGGGGAGCGTGTGGCGATTGTGGCTGTAGACGGCGGAATGGATGCAATAGCGCAGGCTCGACCTCATCTGGCGGTTGACGCGCTTGTTGGCGATCTGGACTCTGTTTCCGACGCCGCCGAGTGGAAAGCGGCGGGCGTGCGGGTGGTCGGCTTGACCGAACAGGATACGACCGATTGCCACAAGGTGCTGCGGGTGGTACATGCGCCACTAGCGCTCATGGTCGGGTTCGAGGGGCGGCGGGTGGATCACTTGCTTGCTGCACTGTCTGCAGTGGCTTCGGCGGAGCAGCGAGCGGTCATGGCTGTCGGAACCGACCTTGCCTTTCGCTTGCCGGCCGCGGACAGTGGCGAGTCGTTTGCCATCGACCTGCCGCCGACCACCCGGTTCTCGCTCTTTCCGCTCGGCCATGTCGCCGGGCTGGTATCTACGGGCCTACAGTGGCCGCTTGATGGGATAGTCTTTGCGCCTGCCGGCATGCTCGGCACCTCGAACGCGGTGGTGGCCGGCTCGGACTCGGTTGGCACCTTGGCCCAGGACGACGGCCAGGCGGTCACTGTCCGCATCACCGCGACCGAAGCGACCGGACCAATGCTGGTCATTCTTGGTCTCGCTCACCTCGATGCGGCAATGGTGTCGCTGATGCGAGCAGGTCGTGAGTGCGATGAAGCATAGTGCGCCGCGGAGTAGCCGCGAGTCGACGGCAGCGAAAGGAGGACATGTTGCTCCAGCGGATCAGTAGCGGTGCATTTGTGAGTGTGGGGAAGCGGCAGGTTGGTCTTGACCACGTGGAACGCTCGGCTGGGACGAGGGCGGCCGAGTTGGTTGCGCCAAGGTGGTGTGGGTGAACCAGAGTCGGACGTAAGGGTGCATGGATCAAGAGCATCTCCACCCGTGATGGCCCATGTGTGCACGGTGCGGGGCCATGTATCGCTGGCAGGGGTGCATGGATCAAGAGCATCCACACCCGTGATGGCCCATGTGTGCATAGTGCGGGGCCATGTATCTTTGGCATAATTCGCTGGTCGTGTCCGTTGTGTGCCCCCTCTTTTTGCGGTTAACGCTAACAAGTGTGACGTCTTGTCCCGATCCAGAAGTGCGACACCGTTGCTCACGGCTCACCAGAGCCTGTGCAACCGCCCACACTCGACTACCATGCTTTCTTTGTACGTCTGCACCAGCTACCGACTGCGTCTACTGTCTGCGATATCTGCATCGGTCTGTCTCGTCGTTGCTGGTGTGAGCTGAGGCGTGGGGTTGCCCTCGGCGCGCAAGTCGAGCACGCGCTGCGGCACCTCGCGCTGTTTTCTATTTGCGGCCGACGACACACACGCTCTCTCACAATCACTCACACGCACCACCATGCTTGCGGCCTGCGGTCTGATACTGGGCCTGTGGTCTGATGTTGGGCGCGGAGGATGACAGGTCGGACGCCGCCTCGGCAAATTCATCAGATGCAGATGCAAACGTCGACGAGTACGATAACGCCAGATCGGACGACATGCAGTCCGACTCGTCGAGCTTTACCAGCAACGAGTTTTCGCCAAAATACCCATCGAGTGCGCAAGACTCGGGTCCCGGAACTGGCGTGGTGAGCATGGTTGTCGAGCACTCACAGCCGACTCCGCTGACAGCATCTTCATGGCCGGAACTGCCACACTCTCCACCGCCACCGCCGCCACCACCACCACCGCCGCCGCCAGCGGCGTTGAGCCCCCAAATCTTGGCGATGCCGCCACCGCAGCAAGTTGGGAGCCCTTGGCCGATTGCGTACGAGCGGCATGATGCAAGCGGCAAAGGGAAGGGCAACGTTGGAGCTGGAGGCAGTGGCAGTGGTAGTGGCAGTGGCAAGGACAAGCGCAAGCGTATGCGAAAGGGCAAGAACAAGAGCAAGCGCGGTCAAGAGCAGAAGCAGAAGCATGCACGCGACGCCGATGCCGATGCCGAGGCGGGTGATCGCAGAAGCGTTCCGCACGTACCATCCGCGATGGCGGCGGATCCGGCTGCGATGGCGGCGAAGCCGATCGCAGCTAGCGCGTTCGTCATGGTCGAGCCAGCAGCTGTAGCAGCTGCAGCAGCGTCAACGGCATCAGACGCGTCCTCGTCTGACGAGTCGACATCGTCGGAGAAGCCCCCGCGCAAGCGCACACGGAAGTCGGTGACATCGCGGCGCACTTCAGTACGGCTACGGTGGGGGACGCGCAATGCGCAGGCACAGAAAAGAGATGAAGCACACGAGCGTGCGGAGCGGGCGGCATTGCGGGCGGCGTCGAAGGAAACTGCCACGCGCAAGGGCCGCTCCCGCCGGCGGGCGCCGACAAAGCCCCGGCGTCGAGTGGCACACGTTGAGAAGGATGCGGCGACAGCGCAGGCGCACATGCACCTTCTGAGCGAGATTGCGGGGCCGTACTTTGGCGATTGCGGGCTGGTGCCCGGCGTCGAGATTGCACCCGCGCAGTCGCAGGGCGGGGAGCGGCCGCGTCAGCGATCGCCCATCCCATACCCACCTGCCCAGGCTGCCGCCGATGACGATGCTGAGGAGAGTGATCGGGCGTTGTCGGCCACCAGCGACGCCGTCACCAGTGGCGAGACGAGCGATGGCGATGCCGCCGCGTCATCGTCGGCATCCGCTGAACTGACTACCGGCGCGCCGCTGCCTCAACCCCCGCCCAGGCCTTCACGGGCCTGGGCGACATGTGCCTCCAGACTCGGTCCGATGGACAAGGGGTGATCGGACTCAGCCAGTTCCACATTGCCCCACATCTAGTGCCCAACCTCTCTGTCCCGTTCACGCTCGAGTTCTCTGCGAGCTACCCCAGCGGCCAGCCAGCGTTCTCGTACCGGATCAGCACGCATCCGGCCGCCCACCCCGCGCCCTAATCCGTGATTCCTCTAGCGCCGATCCCCCTCCACTCCATCTCCCACGCGCCATCCCCCCAATCCCCCCCGGATGAACCAAAGACACCAAACCACCAGTGACCGACGCCAGTGACACGCCCACGCCCGACAGCCACGCCCACGCCCACGCCCACGCCCACCCCTCCCCCCTACCTCCCCGGACATGTATCTGGCCCTCCTCGCTCTTCCTACCACATCCCCTCTGCTTGTGGTCACCCTCATCATTGTCGGCTACCTCTTCTCCGTCCGCTACTTTCGGTACACCTGGCAGCGTGAGACCGAGGACATGCCACTCGCACGGTATCGGGCCATGGGTCGACTGGTGGCGCTGTATGACATGCCCACCATTTCCCGAACTGCATCCACCTTTGGCTTTTTTATACCTACGCCGTTCCGTCCATTGCAACGCTGCTCAATGCCACAGCTGAGTTCAAGATCAATGGACAGAAGCGGTATGACGATACGGAGCTGCTGCTGGCTGAAATGGTTGAGCGATGCGTGGAGGTTGGTCGATCAGAGGCTGCTATCGCCAGGCTCAACGTCATCCACGGCGCGTACAACATCTCTGATGATGACTACTTGTTCACGCTGACTTTGTTTGTCGTCCCGGCTGTGCAATGGGTTGCGCGATGGGGCTGGCGCCCCTTTACCGCTAAAGAGGCCGATGCCATCGCGCTGGCCTGGTCCGAGCTCGGCGCCAACATGGGCATGCCTGCTCATCGCCTCCCGCTCGACTACGCGGGTTACCTTCAGATGTTCAACGAGTACACGTCGCCAGACTCGCCCCACTACCGCATCCGCCCGTCAGCAGCCGGCGCCGCTGTCACCCGCGACTCGCTCGAGACTGTCTACACTTGGGTGCCAGCAGCGGTTGTCCCGCTCCTCCGCCCAGCCCTCACCTGGCTCATCCGCGGCTGCCTGCCAAGCGACGTCACGGCCGCCATTGGCCTCGCTCCGGCGGGCCCAACGCATCGCGCGCTCATATCGGGCTTCCTGCACCTCCGCGCCTTTATCATCCGCCACGCTTGTCTGCCGCGTCCGTCGTGGTGGCCGTACGTGGTGACCAGTGGTAAGGTGCTGCCGTCAGGCGCACGCGCTGCCCCGTGCTCGAGGTCCTACCGCGCTACCGGCTACTGCATCGGATCGCTGGGCCCGGCCAAGTTTGCAGCGGCTCCAACGTCCGAGGCGCATCCACCGACTATCCACGCCGCCAATGTGGCGGCGTGGATGGCCCGCCGCGACGCACACTACGGCTGGTGACTCTGGCTCTCGACCGCTGCCGTCGTCATGGTGTGGATTCGCTGCTTGAGGTGCGCAAGGTCGTTGAGCGCGGCTTCGGTACGCTGCAGCGAGCCAAGGGTCTCGACCTCGCGCGCCCGCGACGCCGCGAGCTCCTCGCGCAGCGACACGATCTCGTCCTGCGCCGACTTGAGCAGCTGCCGCAGCTCGTCGCGCTCCTCGCTCACCACCCGCTGCCGTGCCTCGAGTGCGCGCAGCTCGGCTGCGAGCTCATCGCGAGCCTGCATCACAGACGCCGCATTTGCTTGCGCTGCCTCGCGCTCGGCCCGCGCTGCCTTGACCTCATCGTTGGCGGCGTCGATCCCGGCCTGGCACCGCTGCACTTCGGCCTGCGCCCGCACCATGGCGGCCTCGGTCTCGGCCACCCGTGCCTGGGCCACGTCCTTGACATTCTCCGCGTCAGCTACAACGGTAGCCACTTTGTCCGCAGCCTCCTCCGCCGCGGCCTCTGCGGTTGTGGCCCGCGCCTGCGCGGAGGCCTCGCCGTCGCGCGCCACTGCGGCCTCCTCGCGCGCAGCGGCTGCCTCGCGCCGTGCCGCCGCAGCCTCTTCGCGCGCTCGCGACGCCTCCACCTGCGCCTTCACCGCCGCATCCTCGGCTGCCTCGGCCGCCTGCCGCAGCGCGAGCACGTCGGCCGAGAGGACCTTGACCCGCTCCGACGCCGCCGCCGCAATGGCGTCCGCCTCGGCCAGCGCCGTCGACCTCAGCGCCAGCAGCTCGCGCGCATGTGCCAGCTCGTGCCGCAGACCCATGGTCGCACCCATCGCCTCTTCTGCCACCACATCGCCCATCGTCCGCCTAGGCGACAGCGAGCCCAGCCGCAGCGGCGACCGAACCGCCGATGACCGGCGACTCGTCTCGGTCTCCAAGCTATCCCGCGTGCCCGACCACTCTGCCATACCGCCGATGCTAGCACCCCAGTCAGAGAGATGCCAGATCAGTGACCAGTACCACTATGACCACCGGTTGAGCCGCAGATAACGACCGAGAAAGAGACCACACCCGCCAGTGCCGCCAGTGCCCGTCGGTCACCAGTCAGTCACCACCGCCGCCTGTCTGCTGTCACAGCCAAACCACAGTCGAGTCTCACCCGAGCAAAAGACCTACGCGTAGCAAGCGAAAAGACCTCCCACCGATAGCCAACAGAGCCACTATCCACAAACCTGGTTACGGTTTGGGTCAAGTGTCTGTCCCAGCACTTGGCCCCCCCTCACCCCCGCCCGCCCGCCACCAGCCGGCCACCCGCCACTAGTCACCGGTCACCCGCCCGCCACCCGCCGGCCGGCCGCCCGCCACAAGCCACCGGTCACCAGTCACCCGTCCGGTCACCGGTCACCGGTCACCGACCAACCCAGCTGACCCGCCCACCCCACGCCTCACCCCCCTCCATCTCCTCCATCCCCCATCACCCCCATGGACAACCTCCCGCCCCACCTCAGCCGCCACATCTCCTCCACCCCCCCCGCCACCCTCTACACCATCGGCCGAAAAGTTGGCGAGGGTGCCACAGGCGCCGTCTATGCTGCAAGCCCCTCTTCCCCGTCCCTGCCAACCATGGGCAAGAGCCACACAGAGTCCTCGCTGGAGGTCGGCGAGGGCGAGGCCGAGGACAAGGCGGATATGGTGGCAGTCAAAATTGTGCCGCTCAACTCGCCCGATGCCCTCGTCTCGCTCACCAACGAATTGGAGCTGTTGCACTCGCTCGAGCCGCACTCCTCGCTCCTTGCTTACCACGCCGCACATCTCAATCCAAGGGACTCGTCGCTCTGGCTGGTCATGGATCTCTGTCCCGGCGGCTCGCTCGCTGCTGCGCTCGACCTCTTCCGTGGCTGCCACCGGGAGCTCTTCACCGAGCCGGTCATCGCCGCCATCATGGTCCAGCTCCTCTCGGCCCTCGACCACCTACATCGGGCTGGCTGCATCCATCGCGATGTCAAGGCCGACAACATCCTTCTCGCTGCAGACGGCTCCATCAAGCTGGCCGACTTTGGCGTTGCCGCCACACTCAGCCCAGACCTCCCCACCCGCGCCACCTTTACCGGTACTCCCTACTGGATGGCTCCCGAGCTTATCACCGAGGAGCCGTACGCCGCACCCGTCGACATCTGGGCCGCCGCCATCACCGCCATCGAGCTCGCCGACGGCGCGCCACCACACGCCTCAACCAACCCCATGCGCGCCCTCTTCCTCATCCCCCATCTTCCGCCGCCCACGCTCGCAAACCCAGACGGGTTCTCCGCCGACTTTGTCGACTTTCTCGCCACTGCCCTCATCCTAAACCCGGCCCATCGACCGTCCGCCGCGTCTCTCCTTGACCACCCGTTCATTGCCTCTGCTCCGCCGCGCTCTGCTCTCCTCCCCCTCTACGCCCGTGTCATCGCGGCGCGCAACGCGGCCGCAGATGCCACCGCCGCGCAGCTGCGTGCACTCCTCGATGCCCGCCCACAGCATCCTGCCGCGGCCAGACCCCAAGCCACGCCTCTTTCTGCGCCACCGCCGCCGCAACTTCCCGCACCGGCTACCAGCATCCAGGAGCGGCTGCTCGACGAGAACGACGAGCTCCGTGCCCGCCTCCTCGCCGCTTCCCGCGAGATCGAGACCCACAAGGCGGCTGCTGCCGCCGCCGCTGTTCAGGTCTCCGACCTCCGCACCCGCCTTGCCGACTCGGCCGCTTCGTCTGCCACCGTCATCGCCGACCTCCGCACTCGTCTCGAGTCGCTCGCAGCCTCTACGGCCACCGCCGCCACCGTCGCTGCGCTCACTGCCGAGCGCGACGCCCTAGCTGCTGAGCGCGACGCCGCCCTTGCCGAGCGGAATGCCGCCCGCGCCGACGCCGCCGCTGCCCACGACGCCCTTCGCGCTGTCGCCGCCCATCCGCCGCCTCTCCACCCAAACCCGACGCGCGGCGAGCTCTCCGCCTTTGCGACTGCGTACGCCTCCGCCACTGCCCTACTCCACACATCGCTCGTCAAGCGCACAGCCGCACTCGAAGATCTCATCGCATCGATGTAAACTACTTTACTCAGTCCGGAGGCACACCCCGCGCATCCGCCAGAAGCTCTCGTCGCCCGAAATTGGAAGCGCCATGTCGATGATGACCCGGCTCGTGTCGCCACAGTACAGCGGCGCCGCGTACACCAACCGATCCCTGGATAGCTGGCCCACATCCACAGGCCGGACCCACACCACTGGCATGCTATTGCCGACCGCGTGCCCGGACGGCTCTACAAGCACCTTCTGCCCGCCGTCCCACGCCGCGTTCTCAAGAACAAGGTTGCCCACGTACACTCCCACAGGCGGGTGCTCCCGCGGAATCACTCCCGCCCGCTGGACCACAAAGTCAAATCCAAACGCATGCAGCGGCGCGTCGGAACCAGACGTGCGCGTCGCGACCACAAGCAGCCGCGCAAGAAGCTTCTTCGGCGCATGGAGCAGTCCCAAGTTGACGACTACAGGGAGCCCGTGCTGTCGCCAGTTGCTCATCTGCGCCACCTTGCGCCGCATCTGGTCCAGCCACCGCCAGAGCGGCAGCCCGTCCGCACCACTCGCCCATCCGTCGGGCACTCGCCCGTCCATCAAGCTCAGCCACTGTGAGTACAACGCTGCGTCGAGCTCCCGCCGTCCGCGCACAACGTCCAGCAGTCTGCCCAACCCGACATGCATGGCATTGAGGACAGCGCCCAGCGCTGCAGCCTCGGTCTCGAGAACGTGGTCGAACATCGGCTGCGAGAACGAGCCCCGAGGCGGGAGCTCTACAGGTACTGCGCTCTGTACACGCTGAACCAGTGTGGTGAGCTCGTTGATAGTGCACAGGTGCCGCCCCACGCAAGCAACGCGCCATCCGCGGTGCTCGTCCACCACCGGCGCTATCCGCTCGCGCACAACCACCGGCAGCCGAAGCTCCGCCAGCCGCACCGCAAGCTTGTTCCGAAGGCCGAGCACGTCAAGCGGCACCACTTCCGGGAACGCACGCCGGATGTACAACACGTGGTACGCCAGCGAGCCAAACGGCGGCGGGTGCATGTTGTGGTTCGAGGCAGAGAGCGCGTGCTTCTCGTCGAAGAGAAACTCGCCCAGGCATGCCTCCATCACAAGCTCGAGCACCGCGCTGTCCACCCCGTGCACCGTGCTCACCATCACCGCGCTCACCATGCTCCGCAGCTCACTAAAAGGCACAAACGCCCCGGCTTGCTCGTCCTCGGCTTCGTGATGCGGAAGGCTCGCCAGCCGCTCGCGGAGCCAGGCCACCACCGCAGCCACTCGGCCCTCGCTCAACTCGACAGCGTCCACAAACCCGTGAGGCGCGCCCATGCCGCGCCGGACGCACACATGGGCCACAGCAAGAGCAAGCCCAAACAGCACTCGCCGAAGCACTCGCGGGAGACTCCCTCCGACGCTCGCCACAAGCCGCGAGTACGTCGCATACTGCACAAGTAGTGCTCGCTTCAGCTGCCGCGGCCAGTCTACACGGACAACGTCGGCCACGCGCACAATCTCGCCAGGCACCTCGCTGGCATCGTCGGCAACCACAACAATCCGTCCGTATGGCGCCTTCTTGCGCAGCCAGCCCACCCGCCGCCCGCCAGATGGACCGCCCACAACTTGCGCCGCACACTGCAGCACCCGACCACAAGCCTCGCTCGCCGCAAACACAACCAGCCACGATCCACGCTCGAGCTCGTCGCGCATCTCGTTGACGTCAATGTCGGCTTCGCTCCCGCTCGCAACAAACACCAGCCGTGCCTTGTTGGCGCCCTCGCGCTCAAGCACGGTCTCGCGCCACCAGCGCGCCACCCACGTTTCCACCTGCCGCCCGGCCTCGCGCACAAGCACCGTCACCAGCGCCTCTCGCTTGCCAACCTCGTCGACACTGACAATGCCCAGTGAGCTAAAGTGCACGCCGAGCGCGCTCTTCACCACTTGCCGCATAGCAGTCTCCAGCACATCCGGTCGCACCAACCGGACCAGCACGCACCGCCGCAGAGGCGAGAGCCGCTCCACAATCGACGGCGTCGAGGTTGAGGCCGAAAGCGGCGCCGACGAGTGAATAAACGTGTACCACACCTCAATGTCGCGGACGACAGAGCGAAGCAGTCCGTCAAACGCGCCCACATCAGCCTCAAGCTTTCCGAGCATGTTCCAGAGCTCAGCAGTGAGCCAAGACTCGCGCGGCTTGCTCGGTACACCACTGCCGGTAGACAGCACCGCCGCCTCGACCTTGACATCTTCAAGCGCCTGTGCGCCGTCGACCAGCACCCGCCACTCGGTCGCACTCAGCTTCTCGGCATCGGTCTGGTCGCTTGCCTCCGCTGCCGCGAAGAATGCCAGCGATAGCCCAGCATCCTCCGGCAGTGACTGCATCAAAGCGTCAAACACCATCTTCGGCAGTTGCGCCACCGGCGTCTCGCCGTTGCTGGCCACTATCGCACTTGCCGCGCTGGTCACAGCACTACTCAGCCTCTCAAGCCCAACAACAGCAGGCTGCAGCCGCGACGCGCCACGCCACAGTCCAGCCACCGCCGCAACCTCTGCCGCCACAGACTCGCGCGCCAGCGCCACCAGCCGCCGCAGCCGCACCTCGAGCTTTAGCACCGTTGCCGTCGCAGACGCAAACGTCTCCATCGACAGAGCAAGGCCCGAGAGCGCCTCGTTGTCATCCACAAGCGTCGTCTGCTTGCTCACAAACTTCTCCGTCAACAGCATCTCGACTGCATCGCTATACAGCGAGCTCACCAGGTGCGACTCGGACGCCAGTCGCGTCGCTATGTCGCTCACCTGCTTTGCCAGTGCCGGCTTGATCTGCTGTGTCACCATCGCCACCGCGTGCGCTTCGCCCACGCTTGGCGGCGCGGCAAAGGTGACCACATGTACCGACCCGGCGAGCACGTCGGGCACCTCTATCTCGCGCTCACGAGAGACGAGGAAGAGCCGGAAGCCGCGCCGGACCGCGCGGTTTTCCGCATCGCCGTCAGCACTCGTCACTGTCATACGCACCGTCACCCGCTCGACCAACTGCACCTCATCGCTCGAGTCACCACCGACAAGCTCTGAAGACCGCGCACGCGCGTGCGCACGCATCATGTCCTGGAACACTTCCGAGGCACTCCGTGGGTCCGCGGCCTCGTCGTCCGACGACATCCCGCTGTCATCGCCAGACTCGCCGCCCTCACCCACCTTTGATCCCACCACGCTCGTCTCGAGGTACCCGACCCCGGCCAGCACCGCGCGGAGCAGCGGCGTGAGCCCAGTCTCCAGCGATCGTCCAAAGCCATGGACCAGCAGCGCCCGGCCAGACACCATCGCTTCGGTCACAACGTGGTCCACATACGGCGACGAGACATGCACCTCGCGGAGATCATGGTCGCCCTCAAGCTCTCGCAGCGCAGGCACGCCCAAGTTGTCAGGATCCACAAGCACTGGCGTCACCGCAGAGTACACCGTCTCACGGAGCGCCCCGAGCAGCCACCGCCCACTTGCTCCACACGACCGCACAAACGCCGTCTCGGCAACAGGCAGTCGCTGCAAGAGCGCAGATGGTGGCAGTGCCGCGATCTCGTCTTCGCCTCCAAACCCGCTCCCGCGCGAACCGCGAGCCTCGCAGTACACCAGCGGCCGCGGCAGCGTCTTCTCTGCCAAGGGCGCAGGCATGCTTCCCAGTCGCTCCTCGAGCGAAGACGAGACTAGAAGCGTCGTCGATACCACCGACTCCAGAGCAGCAGCTTCACCTGCCCGCCCAAACACCGCCTGTGCCGCGGAGACCACCGCATCGCCAAGTAGCGTCGCCTCCCGCGCCGACATCTCGACCTGGACTGCAGACAGCGCCTCCGCCATTGGCGCCACGGACGCCATAGACGACGTCATCAGCTGTAGCTCTTCCATCGACGAGCTCACAGAGGCTTGTAGCGAGCTCTTCGACAGCTTGGCCTTCTGCGACTTGAGTCGCTGCAGCCGCCCGCCGAGATGCTTAGCCTTCTCCTGCGCGTCATCCAGAGCATCTTGTGCGTCCTTGATTGTCCGATCGAGCTCGTCGATCGTCGCCTGCTGAACCCGCAGCTTGGCATGTGTGATGGCCACCTCGTGAACGGCTTGGACCCATCCGCAAAGGTCACCACCCAGTGGTGGTGACGCCGCAGCCACTTCGCTCAGCACCACGCCATCGTGGGCTAGCATCCGCTTCAGCGCACTCCGCATGTTGTCAGTCATGCTCGCGGGCTCGTACGTCCGCGCCCACTCCAGGAACGCCGGCGCGTTTGCCTCGCCAAGGAGCTCCATCACGTCCTTCCAATTGGGACTCTCCACGCCCGTGAGCATGGTGATAGCCTCCATAGTAAAGACCAGCCCATCAAACGGCTTGTGCACACTGGCGAGATCGCTCACGTCTTCCGCCCGCGCAAGGCGCAGCCGGTCGCGATACTTGTCAAGCACAGGCATGACCTCGCCCAGCTTCGCCGCCATGTATGCCTCTTGTGCGTCGCGGGACTGCCGCGCCGTCATGAGCGTGCCCTCGGCCTCAGTCATCTCGCCCCGCGCTCCGGCAAGCCGCGTCTCGGTCTCGACAATGAGCCCGGTGAGCTCCTCAGCCTCTTCAAGCTGCGCCTGGACCTGAGGTTCAAACCGTGCCACGTCGTTGCGGATCTCTTGCAGACGCTCACCCGCCGCTTGCAGCGTATTGAGCGCACTCTGAGCCCTCGACGCCGTCAGCCCAGTGTACGTCTTGGCGTCGCAGTAGAGCGTGAGCGCGAGTCGGATCAGCCGCGCCACGCTCACAACCACAGACCCAGATTCGAGCCGCCGGCAGACGTCCAGGGCCACACTCGCCACGCCACTCACGCTGCTTGCCGGCAGCGGCAACTGCGCCGTGAGGTCCTTCACCACATTCAGCGCATACGTCTCGTTGTCGCGAACCTCGCCGAGACTAACCACGCGCCGCACCACTCCGGCCCGCCCAGCAGCCACAAACGCCTCGCGCCACACCGAGCCGGTGCACGAGCTCCGCGGCCGCGCCAGCATCTCCACTGCCATCTGCTCTGTCCCTTCCACAACAACCCGCAAGTGCTGCCGGACACTTGCATTGAACTGCGCGACGAGGACGCCAAAGGCCAAAGGCTCGTTGGCCTCGCGGCTGTTGCTGAGCGCGTCAGCCGACGCCCGCCCGCTGCTCCGCCGCGTGCCCACCAGCTGGCGAAACTCGGCTTGGGAAAACGGCGTAACCAGCGCACCACTACTGGATGGTGAAAGCAGCAGCGAGAGCACGCAAAGTGCCATCGATTCCTCATCCGCGCGCGGCGCGAGTACACGCTCAAGCACCGCAGCAGGCACATACACCGTAACCCGATTGCCCTCAATGCCACTCGCAATGTAGCAGAGCTTCAGCCGCTGCTCCAGATCCCCAAGCTCTGCGCCCGAGATCTCGATCAGCTTCGACTTGTGCATGCCTGCCACAGCCCGCGAGAGCGCGAGCCCACTCGATTGCGGCCCGCGGAGGACAACCAGAGCGCCAGAGCTCCGCGGGCCAAACAGCGCCAGGCCCAGCTGCGCGAGGTCCCCGGGGTGCATCGCCGAGCCCGAGAGTTCGCCCTCAAGTAGACTGCGTCTCACATCCATGGCTTGGTGCTCGGCTGGAGTCATTGTCCCCAGTACCGCCTGCGCGCGGGTTAGCGAGCTCGAAGCCGTTCGGCCCGACGCCACCATGGGTGCCCCGATGCGCTCTTCTTCGCGCGAGGCGAAAACAAGCCACGGAAGTGCAAGCTGTGCCAGCCGCGGCTCGCGCACCGTTGGCACCGACATCGCAAACGCCTTGGTCGTCACCATCTTGACCTTGCCACTCACCGAGTGTGCACGGAAAACAAGGCCGCCGTCGTCGTCCGACACCTCTGGGAGCTCGACCGCAAGGCCCTCGTCATCCATCAGCGCCTTCAGCCGAAGGTTGAGCGCGGCACCAAGGACTGAGGTCTCACCCAGAGGCGCCACATACACCAGCCGCATCGCTTCGGCCCACCAAAGCGTTGCCAGCTCCGGAGTAACAAGCCCGGTCTCCAGCTCACCAAGGCTCTCCATGACTGCGACGGCCGCGCCCAGCGAGGCTGCAAACTGACTCGGCCACGCAGATGACGCCAACTTGGTCGCGGCAAACAGCCGCAGCTCGGCCGTCACACGCGCAAGCTTCGTGGCAATCTCGGCGTACTCGGGGTCCATCTCGCGCGGCTCGTCGCTTGCGTCTTTGTCGTCATCATCGTGCGAGAGCCTCGCCAGCGCAGCAGCGGCACGAACCTCAAGAATCCCCTCGATCGCCGCAGGGCTACTCAGCGTCGAAACGACAGCCATGCTACCATAGAGCCGCTCGAGGACAAGCGCCCACTCGCGCGACGCTGCCGAGCCGCACTCGTCCACCACAACCGCAAACTGGACTCCACAAAGCGTCAGCCTATGTCCGTCTTCCCACGCCGCCCGGACAGCTGTTGATGTCGCCTGCGAGACCCGCCGGTCGTCACCAAGCATCGTGCCCGGAATGTATGACGCCGTCTCGAGCAGCTCACCATGTGGAAAGGCAGCGCCTGGTGCCTTGCCCGAGCCGAGAAGCGGCTGCGCGGAAGTCGTGCCATTGGCGGCGAGCTTGGTAACCAGGCGCAAGACGCGAATGGCCTCGGCTTCAAGGTATGCCGAGCCGCTAAAGCCCGCGCTCGGCACACCGTCAACGACAACCAGCAGTCGAGTCCCAGGCGCCGTACCCATCATGCTCGAAGTGTACTGCATCAAGTGCGTCTCCAGCACGCCCAGCAGCCGCTCCGACCACTGCGGCTCGGTCAGGCTCACCCGGATGAGCTGAGCGTCGTCTCGCCGCAGCACGTACTGCTCAAGAAGCCAGCCCTTGGACGACGCTTGTGGACCACGTAGGACAATCGAGGACGAGTGGTCAAGCGCCAGTGCACTCCACTCAAACGCGCACATCAACGGCGCGTCCCAGTACGACGGCGTCGGCGAGCTCTCACACAGGGGATCAAGCACTTGCTCTTCCGGTGGCGTACAGACACTCCCGTCGTTACCCATAAAAGCATCGGCGAGAGTGGTGCCTGCTGGCAAGCTGCCAACCAGCCGTGAGACGAGCGAACGGTGCCAGATGCCCATGAACTCGGTGGCACCAGCGGGCAGGAGGCTGGAGACTGCCCGGAAGAGTGCAAAGCCAAAGAGCGCGTCGAGTGCTGCCGGACTTGTCGACGGAAGGATGAGCGTGCGGAGCCAAAGCAGGATTGCGTCAGCAACAACCTGCAGCGGCAGCGCACCCTCAGGCAGCTGGCTCACCGGCATTGTCAGGTACCGGGTTTGGATCCGCAGCTGCGCCGTCTTGTCGTTGCCTTCGGCCGCTGCAAACGACCGAGTGGGAGAGCTTGGGGCCGAGTCTGCCCCGCCGGCCGCATCAGCCATCTTGAGCATGGCCGCGGCATAGGCCGCAAGGCTCGCCGAGACAAAGTTGCCCAGCTCGTGGACGTATTCCTCCCGCGTGGGGTTGAGGTGCAGCGAAGTGACCCAATCTGCAAAGGCTTGCTGCCAGAGCCAAGCACCTCCCGAGGCGCCGATGCCGACACGGACAACGGGCGCTGCTGCCAGCAGCTTGTGCGGCGTAAACTGTCGGTCGTTGACAATCACAATCAGCCGGAGGTTGGCAGGGAGATAGAGCGACTCGCCGTTGCCCCAGGTGATTCGCGCGGGAGACACCAGCTGCGGGAGCACAACTCGTGACGGCTGGGCCGCTGCTGCTGTTGCCAAAGCCACATGCGATGGCCGCTGCGACTGGTTTCCGGCCGAGTCTGGCACTCCCATACTGAACGAGCTGTCCAAATCAGGCGCGTCCGTCATGCTTCTGTGGTTGAGCTGGACCATGGCTGGCGCGAGAATGTCGGCGGCCACAGCTGGCGGCACGTTGTGGAGGACAACCCAGAACAGCTTGGCAGGCTCAAGCTCGGCCTTGGTCGCCAGGGCACCCAGGACCACTGCAAGCTGACCAGGCACCCAGTACGGCGCACCAGTAGGAGGAATGACGTATTGGCCGACGAGCTGGGCGCGTGTGAGCGTGTCAAAGTCATGGCGTTCGTGATGAACCTTGGCCGGCCCGAGCGCAACCTTGGGCATGGCGGCGAGCAGAGCCTGCGGCGTGTCAGACGCCGACAGCAGCGATGCTGCCGTTGCCCACGGCAGCGAGTCGACCGCTGCCGCCGTCGCCTCGGACGTCATCATCGCGAGGTACGCATCGGCGCCGTCGTTCATCATGGCCGCAAGGAGCTCAGCGCAGCCGTCAACAACGCGCTCGGTGTCAGGCCGGGCGGCACAGATGACGCCGTTGGAGAGTGCCAGCAGTGGGAAGAGCTCGAGCGCGAGGAGGACATACGGGTGCTTGCGGACCCGCCCTGCGTCGTCAGCGCCGAGCTGCTCAGCGAGCTTGGTCGCCACCGATCGGCGAAGCGCCGCAGGCGGAGGCAGCGCGTGGGTCTTGCGGACAAAGACCTGCTCGGTGAGGCTGAGAGCCCGCGAAAAGGCCGAGTCACTCAGACTCGCCTTGAACACCGTAGTGATGGCGACAAGAACAACAATCGACTCCTTGGTCAGCTGGACCCGCGCCCGGAGGGTAGCCGCTAGATCGACGACCTTGAGGACAAAGCCGAGTCCATACGAGGCCACGCTCGCTGGGTCATCGGCGTTCGCCTCGGCTTCCATGAGGTTGTTGAGGACAAAGAGTGAAGAGGCGAGCGACTTGGCGCCACGGAAGCCCTGCGAGTAGAGCGCAGCCTCAAGAAGGAAGAGCATGTCCGGAACGGCGGTGTGCGAGATTTCAAACGCGGAGCGAAGACATGCTGGCAGGTTCGCAACCATGGCACCGGTCGCGGTGGCACTCGAGCCCAGTGGCGGCGAGCAGGTGAGCGCAAGACCGGCAGTCGGCATCATGCGGAGCTCCCGGCCAAGGAGCATGAATGATCGCGGCTCGCCGACTGTGGCCAGCGATTCGGCACCAAGCGCAATCGAGCGCGAGAGCGTCACCGCGGCCGCTGAAAGGAGCGAGAGCGCCGGTAGCGGCAGCGACGAAGCATGCCTGACCACGCCCCACAGGCCACCGGCGGCGACGCCGCGGAGGAATGCTGCAACAGGCGCAAAGGCCACCATCGGCGAGGCCGAGGCAGGAGGCTCGACCGCGCTCAGCGGCGAAGCGTCGAGGACGACGAGCCGGCGACCGGCGACAAGCGCGAGCTCGCGCAGCGTCTCAGACTTACCGGACGACGCCGGCCCGGCAAGGCCCAGCGCCGAGCCAGAGGCGAACCAGCGGGCAGTCGTACCGAGCGTGCCGAGCGCTGCCGAGTTGGCCATCGGGTAACGAACGAGAGCGTGATACTCGTAGCCGTAGCTCAGCTCTGCGTCCTGAATGCGGATGAGCGGCATGGCCAGGGCCGGGTCCCAGTAGGCACGCAGTTGGGTTGTCCACTGGACAGCGTGGATGGAGCCAACGTCGTCGGTGATGAGCGCGCGGAGGAGCTCGAGCCGGTGCATGTCGGCAACCATGTAGTTGGCGATGGTGATGGCGTGGTGCTGGGCGAGAGCGGGCGAGGAGCGAATCTCGGCCCAGGTGACCAGCTGCTGGCGGTAGGTTTGGAGGAGGCGGGCAAGGGTCGGCTTGACCGGCCCGCTACGGAGCGACGAGTTTCGCTTGCCGGTCTCGGCGGCCGAGTCCTGCACTGCGGCGCCAGAATCGCCGCCATCGCCGCCACTCCCGATGACCCCAGCGCCGAGCGCAGTCTCGACCTGTTCGGTAAACTTGATGTTGGCGACGAGGAGGATGGCCTGCGAGGGAGCCTTGAAAACCCAGTCGTGGCAAAGGAACTTGTCAAAGCTGGCCAGCGCCGACTTGACGTGGGCAGCCAGGACCTTGGACGAGGCCTCAAGCGCGTCGGCGAGCCAGGTGTGAGGCGGGCCAAACGTCTGCAGCGGGCGGCCAAACTTGAGCCGTTCGGCCATGCCCGAGTCGAGTGCGATGAGCTCGACGGCAGCCGACTCTGACGACGAGGTCTGGAACGAGAGGCCGGGGCCGACAATGGCCGACATGAGCGGGATAGAGCGGACAAGGGCACGCGGGCGCTCAGCGAGCGCGTACAAGTGTGCGAGCTGGGTGTTGGAGAGGAGGTAGAAGCGCGGAAAGTCTGCGCGGCGGGCATCGAGCCAGGCTGCAAGGCCGCGAAAGGCGAGCTCTAGCGAAGCGCGCGAGTCGACAAGGTGCTGGGTGAGGCCCGGCGCAGCGCAGGCCTCGTGGAGTGAGCTGGCCTTTGCGGCGGCGCGCATGGTCATGCGGAAACGACGGTCGACAAGCTTGAACTTTGCGGCGACCGAGGGCAGAGCCTCGGAAATGGAGGTCGACGACGAGAAGAGCGGCTCCATGAACCGCCACAGACTCTGCAGCGTCTCCCACTCGGCGAGAAGTGCCGAGTGAGAGAGGAGGCGCAGGCGGATGGCTTCGACCTGGCTCTGCATACCTGACACGTACTTGGACGAGAGCATGCGCGAAAGCTCGAGCTGGTCGGCCTCGAGGAGGGCGAGCAGGTCGCCAAGCGGAGCGAGAAGGTACATGCCCTTGCGGACCGTTCGGCCGTCCGGCGAGTACGGGACGGTCGGTAGCTGGGTGGAGGCCCAGGTGGAGGCGACGTTCTCGAGTGCGGCATCGATCTCGGCCTCGCCGGTGGCAATGTCAGAGACCTGGAAGACAAGGTCCGAGTGAGCGACGACGTCGAGGGACAGGAGCTGCGGAAGAGTGAACGACGACGACATGTGCTCGTACGACTCACCGAGAGCAGCAAAAATCTGGATCCAGTGGCGCGGCTGCATGGCCGGATTGGCGAGCTCGAGCAAGGTCGGCATGGCAGACGCCAGTTTGGCCACCTTGGAGGCGATGGCAGCGAGGACCGGATGATGCGGAAGTGTCGCCTGCGCCTCGGCAATGCGGGCTTCGAGCTCGCGGACCGGCTGCTCGAGCGAAGCCTCGGCGAGCGAGACAAACGGTGTCGACGAAAACGAGAGCTCGAGAGCGGCCCAGTCGCCTGAGAGCTTCCAAACGGCGGCGAGCGCGTCGAGCTGTGAGGTGAGATCGCCAAGCTCAAGAACTGGCGACGGCGGCATGCCAAGTGCGTCGAGGTACTCGGCATACTCGGTCGCATGGTCTCCGATGGAGGCGAGCTGCTCGCGGAGCGAGTCGAGCTCAGCGACAAGGGTGGCCGGCGTAGCGGTGAGCGAGGCAAAATGTGGCGCCTTGAGCGCCTGCGCAACCGAGGAGATGGATGCAGCAAGCGCATCGACGTGAGTCTTGAGCACACCGGCGTACTGGAAGAAGAGCTCTGACTTTGTGTTCCCAGCCTCTGCCACGACAGAGAGAAACTGCGAGAAGAGCGAATGGACCATCGAGTGGTCCGAGGCGGTGTCGGACGGGAGGAGGACGTCATGCTCGAGGAGCAGGTCCTTGGCGGCGTCAATCGAGTCGAGCAGCATTCGGGTCGCCTCCTTCTCGTCGGGTACGGTGGCAAGAAACTGGGCAAAGCGCACATACTCGGTGAGCGAGTGCGGCGAGCCACGGGCTTTGTATATGTTAGCCTCGAGGCGGGTTGAGAGGGTGTCGATGCGAGCGGCGACAATGCGGGTGAGAAGGTCGAGAACCTCGGCCTTGCACTCGATGGGGATGGGCGCGAGGTTCTCGCGGAGGCTCTTGGAGTCGACGAGGAGCATGCCGCGTGACGAAGCGGTGTGGAGAGCCGAGACCATAGCGTCCCACTTGGTAAGCTTGGTAAGGTCTGCGCGGATAGCGGCGAGGTCGAGCGGGGCCTGCAGGGCGTCCGGCTCCAACCAGGGTGCGGCGTAGTCGCTCGCCGACCAGGAGACACCAAAACTGTGGACAGGCGCAACCACCGAGAACAACTCGGCGTAGGCCTGAGCGTCGTCAAATGACTGGACAATGGCGGAACGGAGCGAGGATAGGCAAGCATCGCCACCGGGGCCGTACACGTCAGAGGAAGAGAGGAAGGCGGCGAGGTGCGGGCCATCACGCGAGAGTTGTGACGGCTTCATGCCCGAGAGCGAGATGAACTGGAGGAAGCCCTGGTTAAAGGGCACGCGCGGAAGGGCGATGAGTGTGTTGACCGTACGACCGACAAGAGCATCAAACTGGTCAAGGACAGCGGCCCTGTCTGGGGTGAACGAGAGGCGTGAGTTGGGCTCAAAGTCAAGGACGACGCGAAGAAGCATGGCGTTGTCGTGCCATGCCATGTTGAGCAGGCGTGAGAGCTCCTTAAGGGCGAGCTCGTGGAACGACTCGAGGATGCGGTAGTCGACGAGGCGAATGAGCTTGCCGACAACGCGGAGCTCGGCGTTGACCATTTCGGCCTTGCGGGCGCGCTCGAGTGCCTTTTGCTTCTCGAGGAGCATGATCTGGCGAAGTGAGACGGTGCGGCGGGCGGAGGATGCAGCCGAGGCCGAGACCTTGATTCGCTCCGGATCACGGATGTCCTCGATGAGGCGCTGGACGCGGGCCTTGACCTCGTCAAGGACCGAGGCCAGGAGGCGTTTGACCTTTGCCAGCGCGTCGTCAGTAGCGTCGACAAGTTCTTCCATGGTGAGCGTGTTCTGCAGCTCGAGGGCAAAAAGGCGTGCGGGGAGAACGGTGCCCTCAATAAAGGCATGGACGTCACAGAGTGCGGCCTGAAACATAGGGTGGAGAACAAAGATGCGCTCGAGGAGGGCCTTGCGGTTGGCGGCAAAGCGGCGGCGGCGGACGAAAGCGCGCCAGACCTTGATGGTCTTCCAGAATCGAAAGTGGCGGAAGACCGGGAGCGCCGAGAGGTGCTTGAAAAGGGTGGCAGCGCGGACAAACGAGGCCATGGGTGTAAACTCGGTGTGGCCGTCGGCAGAGACCCTGGTAACGCCGTTGGTGGAGAGTGTGTAGTACGCCTTGCCGGCGCCAGACTTGGCACGAGGGAGAGCACCGGAAGCGGTGAGGGCCGACGACGGAGGCGCTCCCGACGTGGCCGACGTCGAGAGCACGGTAGCAAGCTCGTCCTTGGGCACTACCTGCAGCGAGTACGGATGGAGCGAGAGCGATGATGGGTCCTCGACCTCGGTGAGGAAGACAAACTTGGTGGTGTCGTCGTCGTAGTTCATGGAAAAGTGGATGATGGGCGCGCGCGGACCAACGAGCTCGTCGGTGGCGGTCCCGTGCCAGACGGCCTCGGTCTCCTCAATGGCCAGGATGGCGTCGTCGATGTTGGAGACGAGCCGTGAGCTCCCGCCCTGGCCCGACAAGGGGTCCTTGACGTGATCGACGACCGATGCAGCGCGGGCGACAGGCGACATGGCCGGCGAGCGCATGCCTGCCACCGAGAGCGAGCGCAGCGGAGATGGCGGCGGAGGCGGACGATACGCCCAATGGTCCAGATCTTGATCAGGAAAGTCAAAGAGCGGCGAAGTAAGCGAGGAGAGACGCGAGGTGTTGACCATCGAGTTGGACAACGACGTGGCCGGTCTCCCAGCCGCCGGGCCTGGCGAGCCATCATTCGCCCTAGACTGGGCCCTTGACCGACGATGAGCAGCGACGAGTGGATTCGGAGAGAGCGGAGTACCATACACAGGCATTCTCCCTGGTGATGCCCTTGACGGCGTTCTCATGACCTTGTCCCGCCTTCCTCCCCGTCGGCTCGACGACTGACTTGCCCGGCTTGACTGCCGTGCTGGGCTCGCCCGGGCAGCACGGACAGCCGCCCGGTGGACAGCTTCCACCTCTTGGTCGTATTCGACAAAAGACATGGTGGTGGTGGCAGGGGTGGTGGGGGGTGGGGGGAGGGGAGGGGTGGGGGGAGGGGTGGGGTGGTGGGTGTTGGTGGTGGCGGGTGGAGGGGGGGGGGGGTGGCGGGTGGCGCGCGCGGGCAACCGTTGATTGGGGGTTGGGGGAGGGGGGGGGGGGGGCAGGTGGAATTGCAGACGGCGATGGTTGTTGTCATGGGCGATTGTGATCATCATGGACACGGGTGAGGAGAAGAGATGTTTAGTTGGACTCATCGCGGGACGAGTCAGAGATGGTGGCGGTTGGGGCGTTGGGCTTGGGCTTGGGCGTGGAGGCAGACTCGATGAGGGCAGCGACGACCGAGTCGACGACGGTGGCAGAGGTGGCGGTGGGGGAGGAAAGGAGATCGTCAGAGGTGGCGGGAGGGACAGGCTCGATGGGATCGGCGGGAGCAGCGGGAGCGGCGGGAGCGGCGGGAGCGGCGGGGGCGACAGAAGCGGTCGTGGCGGCGGCAGCAGTGAGATGCGGATCCGAAGAAGAGGCGGGGAGAGTGAAGAGGGCACCCGAGCTCGAGTCGACGGTGATGTCAATGGGCGCAGTCTCGTCGTTGTCATCATCATCATCGTCGTCGTCGGTGTGCTGCCAGAGCGGGTGGTCCACGTCCGACTCGGACGAGACCTCGGCAAGGAGGCACTGCTCCGATGTGGAGAGCTTGACCCGGGTGGACTCGTCCATGCGGAGGGCTGCTAGCCGAGGGGTGGCGCGGATGTCAGCCGGCTCGGGAGTCTCGCCGTCGCGCAACACTGCAGGAGTGCGCTCGGCAGGCTCGTCCTCAAACGACGAGCCGCCGTCACGGCGGCGGGCAGTCCCAGCGTCCGAGGTCGAGTCAAAGCCGCCGCCGGCAGGCACATCGAGCGAGTCGTCCATCGAGCCGAGGGCGTCATCGGTATCGATGGACGACAAGTCGCTGCCGTCGACCACAAACCGCGGCTGTGGGTCCATGTCCTCGTCAAGCGCCTCGACAGTCCGAATGTCGGTCTGCGGCGAGCCGGCGTACGCCCGGGCATCAGCCATGCGCAGCTCGCGTCGAGCCTCCATGGCCAGGGCATAGTCTAGCTCGGGAGAGGGATCATAGCCCAGCTCAGGCGAGGGCCCAAAGTCATCGCCATCGTACTCATGCCCGTTCTCCTCGTACATGTACTGCCGACGACGACCGTGACCACGGCGATGCTGGTGGCCACGATCATGAGAACGGTGACGACGACCGCTACCATCTGTCGAGCCGTGGTCGTTACGAGAGCTGCTGGCAGCGTCAAACGAGTCGTCAGCAAGACCAACTACCTCGCCGACCATACGCATCATAGCAGCCATCTGCTTCCTAGCAGCAGCAGCAGTGGCCTCAGCCTGGTGAGCACGAGCCTCGGCTGCCCGGCATCGCTCTTCGGCCGTAGCCAGCTCTGCCCGGAGAGCTTCCACCAGTGGCGCATACTCAAGGCGGACAGCAGCCTCTACCGACCGCTCACGTTCAGCAAGAAGCATCTCGAATGCCATGCCAAAGGCCGACACACCTTCGTGGGACATGGTTGTGGGGGGGGGGGGCTGACAGCAGTTTGTGGTTTGGCTTGATTCGAGCTACGATGGAGTTGCCTCGACAAAGAGGGAAACGTGGCCGACGAGGCCGGCGTCGGCGAGGCTCGCGCTGCGGTCGGTGTAGAGGGTGCGGGGAAAATTGGCAACGAGCACGTAGCCCGAGGTGATGACCTCGTCAGGGAGGTCACAGGTGGCGATCCAAGCGTAGACATGCTGCACCTTGTGGCTCGCCACAAACCGCCGCTGGCTCTGAGCTCCGTCGGGAAGCCGGACCCGAATGGTGACAACGCCGTCGGCGTCGGCATCAGGCTCATCGGGTACGAGTTCAAAAAAAACACTCGCGCTCGGCAGCGGCGGCGGCAGCAGCAGCAGCAGCGGCAGCTCACCCCTCGGCAGCAGCAGCGGCGGCGGCAGCGGCGGCCTCGGCCTCGGCAGCAGCCGCCCCCACCGGCGCCCGGCCTCCTCGGCACGCCGGGCATAAAGAACGAAAAAAGGTCAGCGGCAAGAGAGGCCTCGTAGGCGGCGTCCTGCTCAGCGCGGATGCGGCGGTCAGCCTCGCGAGTGGCGGCGGCAGCAGCAGCCTCTTGGTCGCGGGCGGCGCGCTCAGCGTCGAGGCGGCCGGTCACGTCCTGCAGGCCGGCGAGAATGGTCTCGGCCGGGGTGTTGCCCTCGAACACTGCGAGAACGGCAATGTTGTTTGACTGCGGCGAGGCGACAACCAGCGCGAGGTACGGATAGGTGCTGGCCCGGAGAGCGGTGGAGACGTGGTGTGCCTCCTGGTGGGCAATGTCGCCGGCCCAGGCGATACACGACTCGTCGATACGGGGCACCAGCGCCGGGTCACTCAGCGTGCCCTCGCAGAACGCCGCTGTCTCGGCGTGGAACTCCGAGTGCAGATAGACAACGAGGACCTTGCCCTCGCGGGCTGCGCGGTGCACAGCCTCGGTAAACGGCGTGAGCATGAACGCCGGGTGCACGTCGCCGTATTCGGCCTCGAACGCTGCCACAAAGGCATGCGCTCCGCCGCCGCCGCCGCCCATCGTCGTTCCGGTCACAAGCGACAGCAGCGGCGCCGCAAGCGTGCCTACAAACCCCACTGCACCCGAAAGAATCGAGAACAGCAGCGACGCGCCCATGCCAAGGATGCCCTGGTTGGCAGGCATGTCGCCGCCGGTGCTCGGACCCGCGCCGCTTCGGTCGACCGCATACTGCGGGCGCTGCCGCGCTGCCACCGCCGCCGGCACCGGTGCTGCCGCCGGGAGCCGGAGCCGCACCACTCGCCGCTGCCGCGCTGCC